CATACTTACCAAATTTTAAAGATAATTTATAATTTGAATTGTAACCGAGAATATAACAACGACAAAACATTTTGTTAAAATAAACAAGAAAATTACAATCAAAACACACAATCTGACCTAAAACACTTTCACTTCTTTCACTGCAATTAAAACTGTATCCAAAGGTATTAATCACTAAAACACGATATTTCCACTAAAATTAAAATATTATTAAACAAAGAAACACAACAACCAATGTGTTAGCTATAACTCTCATTAACTAGGAAATCCTAGGATTCTCATAGTGTTGCCAGGTAAACCTTCAGCACGACTTGCAAGTAGAGACGGCTGTGTAGGTAGGTACCTATCCATTATAAGACTAACAGTTAAATAGAACAAAATTTCTTTTTGATTACCTTCTAGCTCGAAACACGACAAAGCAACATATAAAAATAAAATGAATTACATCATAACATACAACTAATATGCTTAATTTTATGTTATTTTTGTTTTTTAAAGATTAGGTTAGATTAAATTGTACATAAAATATACCCGGAAGACTTCGTACTGCCTCAATCGATAAATAAAAGACCTAAACTTTTGTATAAAAAAATTAAAACAAAAGCAATCCATAATTAATTAAATAAAATAACTGTTTTTTTTTTTGTAAGTACCATATCAGCATATTTGTAATATTCTGATTAATCTTGTAATGTTTTGAAAAACTTACGAAACTATTTGTTTATTTTATGTTTAATATTTTAGAATATTTACCATTGAATCACATACTCTTATAACTTATATCTTAACATACCGCAGTAGGTATATCATCACCTACCGATATCTGCTACTGGCTAAAGTATTTCATACTTATATTATTATGTTAGACAAGGGACTTACTAAAGCACCTAGTTGGCTAACTATATTTACGATACAGCTTTTAATAGACAGGATAAGTGATAACTGTTGGGGCTTAGAATATGTGTAGGTTAACCAAAATATGAATATTGGACAAAATATGCTTTAATAAAATAAGTATCTTCAACGATTGCTCATATGACGCTCCCTGTAACAAAATGTAAAATAAGAGGTTTTGCCTAAAGTTATAAAAAAAAAAGTTGTGCTGTGTCAACTTTGATAACAATTAAAAAAGGAAAATAATATGTCTTTATTAACACACTGTATCTTTTTACAAAACAACATTTTGTTAAGGTATGTTTGGTCCAATATTTATATTTTGGTCCAAATAATCCGTACTTACTCTAGGTCTCAATAGTGATGACACTCCTTATAGGTAGTAGACACGTAAATGAAACTAATAGGAATAGTAAATTAAGTTCTTTGTCAGTAATTTGTCGAAATTACGAGTAAATTTATTTAATTTATTTAGTCTTAAACATTATCTGAGACGTTCGATAATCAACAATGTTTACATTCTTAATCCATGTGGCTGCAGAGTTTTTATCGCACCAACCTATTCGGTAGACACATATGTTGTCAATTCACACACAGGACCGGCTTTGGATTGTAAATTATTGTTATTTTCTTAAAATAAAAATTGCCCTTAACCACATTGCTGAAATCACCGTGCTATTATTTATTGCATCTATTTTACACCCTCAAAACCTCGGCGTTTATTTCGGTTACACCTTGTTCGAAATTGCAACCCATGTCTGGTAGTTTCTATAAATTACTAACCAAAAACTAATACTGTTTTCATAAAGACTTTTGTCAATTTTAGTGTAGTCGTCATGTAGAAAATGAGTATCCTCAGCCTCGAGGAGAGAAAAAGAAAAGTTTCGTTAAATATATCATGGGAACAATTATTTTAATCGTTATGATAGGAATAATTTGGTTTCCTTTAGTTTTCTTCTCACTAGGAAACGCTGTAGGTGAGCCGAACGTTCCATATGATGTAACAGTAAATTTGAGAATTGGGCAGTACCAGTCAATTTATCAAATGTCTGCACAATCAAATGCCATTTTTTCGTAAGGAGGTTTTCTATCAATTACAATAAGATGTATTTATGTATAATTTTTTAGTTTTAAAGAAGATCATTTAAAAACATTTATAAGATTATATGCGAGAAATAAAGGAGCTTCTAATTTCATTTCTAATTATGAAGCGGCAGATATAGCAGCAATTCAGCTAAACCCAAATTCTGCAACCGTTTGGGGCATTTCTCCGCCGGATAAAGAACAAATGCTAGAAGAAGTTAAATCAGGTGGTACTATTCTTTTTGCTTACTTACATTAGAAATATTAACAAAATTATGTTCTATTGTAGAACTTCCAATTAACATTCAATTTGAATACCAAATTTCACACAAAACCACTACAAAAGAAGATTCAGGAGTAATAAGAGAAAACATAATAATTAGTCTTGAACCGAACACAACCTCTCGTTCGAATCTTTTAGAAATGTTAGAAGGTTCTCACTCTGCTTCCCCAGTCCTATTGAAATACATAATGCCAAAGTTTTTAAAAGTTACCAATAGGGGAACCTCGAAAGTGTTAAATTTATTTATGGAAGCCAATAGCACTGGTATGTTGTTAGTTTTTGCATGTTTCTCTAGTATTTCATTGTTGGTTCTTTTAGAGTTAGNTAGTTTTGTCTTCCGATATAGGTACCTAATCTTTGTCTTTATTTAAAAAAGAAATTCCGGTTGTTTTAATGTCTCCCAGATATATAATACAGAAAACATGCATACATAGAATTTACTTTAGACAAGCTTTTATTGGGTAAATAGGTATGTCATTAGTCAATTTGAATTTTTTAGACAAAACCAAATAAGATTAAAATGCAAAATACTATGATACTCTTACTACTACTATTATCTTTTATACCTTTTTATAATAATGATCTAAATTTGCATATAAAAATAAGCAGTAAGGATTTTGCAATATGACCAATTTTGACTTTTTTATACCATTTCTTTGTTAGTTCAACTGATAGATTAATAGGAGTAAATATATGGTATTAATACATTCAAATATCAGTAATTAATAAGGAATAATTTATTGTTATTTACGCTAAATTTAAATTAAAAAAAACTGAAATAATAACGTGGATACCATTGCAGCTTTATTCAATTAATTCCTATACTAACGTGGGTACTCTTTATTAGTATTAAAATAGTGCATAATCTTAAATGTACCAACTATTGATATGTGAAAATAGGCAACTTTATTAAAACCAACTTTATTGTTAGTTAAACACTTT